TCACTGCATACTCTTCCTGTTTAAGTCTTCTCAGCACGTTTAATTTCAATAATACTTTTATTCTATACATATTTTTTTCTGTGTGTAATGACCGATCGATAGGTTACGCACCTCATCTAACAATCTACACCTGAGGTGCGTCAGCTGTGATCTGAGGCAAGCGTTAGTCTGAGGCAAGCGTTAGTCTGAGGCACAACATATATATAGTTTTGATGTCCGATTTAATTACAAGTATGATATTTGACTATCAAATTTTTGTTTTATTGTGCCGAGCACTAATTGGGTCATTACAAAAATCAAATGGCCTGGTAAGGTCATTTGAAATATTTATAATTTTATTTGTAAAGATGTGATTGGCTTAGAGATTGGGTCTGGCATAAAATTAAGTTCTGGGTTACTCTCTCGTTTACAAGATCATTACCAGGTTACACACTGAGTCATTTCTAATAACTCGAGTAACCCGGGTGACCCAGTTACATGTACGAATTGATCAATATAATGCCGATATTACTTAAGCTTAAATCTTCTACTTTTGTTAGCAACATATCCATATATGACCATTTTTCTACAACTCTGCTGTCTTGTTAATGACTTTGCTGACTGTAACATTTTTCCTGATATTTACTATTATCCATTATTTATTTTTGACTTAGTCAATAACGACCGCTTGTAAGATAAGTTTATATTAAAAACCTCCAAATAAAAATATTTACGCCTCATTTAATTTTCCTGTGTTGTTTTAGCCTGAGCATAACGATGGTGTTAAAATATACTTGGGTCTAATCTAAGTCTACTCTTAGGTGGTATTAAATGCAATGTTATTCGGTATACCTATTTTACTGATTGATTTATAAGTTAACCCGGGTCACCCAGGTAACAATGGTTATAATGTTATACGGGTCACCTGGGTGATTTACAGTCTCTAGGATTTCAATTCTATATGCGAAATGACCTAATGACTCGAATGACCCTGGTCATTTGGTCACGAGTCATTTCCAAATGCTCCAAAAATTTGAATGACTGGTCATTTTGAGGTCATTTAAAACGGCAAATGACCAGGTCATTTATCATCACTGTCCTATTTCTTACCTGGGGCATAACTATACTAGGATAATGCATTATACGAAATTTTCTATCGCTATGCGATAAAGTCATGATTATATGCTATTGCAGATTTCGGTGGCAATAGTCCGGGACACATGATAATTATCCTATAAATCAAACGCGTAAGTGTGCATATTTTTATTACAAATACATACGCGCGTGACTAGCAAAATTGCTTTTCTGATTTTGCTATACGATAGAAGTTCATATTTATGAGTATATATGCTATCACAGATTTCGGTGGCCATATTCCGGAGCACATGATAATTATCCTATAACTCAAACGCGTGAGTGTGCATATTTTTGTTACAAATGCATACGCGCGTGACCGTCAAAAAATTTCCAAATTGCTTTTCTGATTAGATCTTCATAATGCTTATGCAGAGACATCAAAAGGTAACGATTTTTGGTCGAAATGAATCAAACCGTAATTTTTGCATGTACGTACGTACGTTAAATTCCATCGTTACACTCTGAACAATTATTTTTCATATGAATCCTCCAAATATGGTACCCGTTCTATACAAAGTACGCCCAAGTACTTGAATAAGACCCTGGTACTATATGCAGTATATTCTAATGTTAATGCTAAGGTTCAGATTGAGATTTGAATATCTTGAACTCATTAAAGATCAATTTTAAAGATGATTTTCTGATGAAACAAGGATTGAATTAGATCTACATTAGTACGTATATTAATTAATTCAGCCCTTATAGAAAATTTACTTTTTGATACGCATAAAAAATGATATAATACGTAGTCTATTAAAATTTCGAAGTTAAAATATTACAATTGGTTTTTCTCTATGAGTATGACTTCTAAACGAATGCTTTATGCTTATTCTTTCTCAATGTGACCTTTGCATTAATCAAAACAAGTATTTTATTCTAGAATAACTTTAATAGAAATAGGAAAATGCATTTAAATCGATTCTTTTATGAAAACAATTGATAATATGCAAACTGTAATACGTGGCTGGGCACAAAACATGATGCATAAGTACGAAATATTGCTTTTAGAGATTTTCATATGAAAATTTTTGGTACTGTATCTAATATCCCGGTATATTGTGAAAATCCCAGCAAGGGAGTACAGTAGGGTTACATAATCTAAACTGCGGAAAATGAAAGAATCAATCCAGAAACTTTTGAGGTCATTTGAAACAGCAATTGTTTGACAACCTATTTTTTGATAATTGTATTATCGATCAGCATGTCTTAGGCCAATGGGCTCAATGCAGATGACCAATTTTACCGATTATCCCATATGAAAATGTTTGATGTTAAAAAACAAATCACACAAGGCAACGAATAAATGAAATTGTACAACTTACATCATAACCCCACGTTTTATTTAACAATAGTTAAATACAAAAATAGAGCTGACGTACGTTGACGTATTGAAAAATTTTAATGAAAAAGGAATTTTATTTATTTTATTTTTAGATAAAAAAATACAAAAAGTAAACAAAAGGGTATAAATAGAAATTGCTAACCAGTTAAAACTTGTATTACTTTATTATTATCCTTTTTAATCTATTATAATTACAGTAGTGAAGTCAGCGTGAAAACCTTTAAGAACTCCCTCGTTAGAAAAATTCATTAATTTATTTTTTTTAAAAAAGAATATAGTTAAATCTCGTTTGGTAAAGCTTTCTTTCATACAATTACATAATTTTTATGATAATATCTAAAGGAGTATGTTTAAATAATGATCGGTATTTTATTGTTATAGTAATTTTTAATACAATTTAATGCAATTTAATGTAATTTTATACAATCTTATACAATTTAATAAAGATTCTTATGATTTTTAATATGTAAGAATATCGTTAATTGGGACAAGTTCACTCGCTTTTTGTTAAAAAAAGCAACCTAGCAATGTTTATATACGTTGATTAATGTTTGCTTAATGGATGTTCCTTTACATTTATGGACTCTGCGTTACCTAAAATAGGCATGATTTTTATTTCATTGAAACATTTCTGTACGAGTATTCTTCAATAATTCGGTATTACAAGCTGCAAACAATGACGAGAATTTAGATTTTATGTAACGTATGGAATATTCTATAGGGCTTCTGGAATACTTCTGGAATACCTATAAAAAGGGTTTTGTTCCCACTTTCGAAAATCCGTTGCAGATAATTCAACGAAGTTTAGAAATCTTTTAAAAAATAAAGAATTGTTGAATTAAAATGTCTGAAAGAATTCAAACCAATAACATGGTTACTGATTCTGTTACTGATTCTGTAGTAGTCGCTGAGCCTTCGACATTAGACAAAGAAATAAGGATTAATGTTCCGTTTCCTCCAAGAATTAACCCTCGTGATTTGATAACCTTGCTTCCTGATGGAAATGTTCCGACAAGAACTCCTAATGCTTTTATAATTTATCGTAAAGCACTAATTGAAGCAATACGTGCCGAAGGTCATAATTTACCAATGTCCTCAATATCTTCTATTGCCTCTAAACAATGGTATAAAGAACCCGAAAGCGTGAAATCTGAATACAAAAGACTTGCAATTGAAGCCCTTAATTATAGTAATACGATTATTAAATCTTGTTCTATATCTCGTCGTAGAAAGAATGAAAGATGGAACACTATTACTTTCAATAATAATAGCATGACTTCTCGTAAAGATTCTAAAAGGCCCAAAAAATTATCAAAAAGTTTAAAAATCCAAACACCTTCCAGAACTGATTTTACACCCGAAAATTTATCACCAACCAGTACAATTAACGATATCATTAATGATAATATTAGCGATAAACATATTAACGATAATAATATTAATGATACCATTAATAACGAACATGTCCTGATCCCAACTAATAATAACATGATTGATAATATTATTGGTAACTTAAGCGATACAAATGAAACATTATCACCGTTGTCCGTTGATTCTGCTAATTGGGATGATTTTGTTTATCATCAAAGCCCTGAAATTGCTTCGATCTCAAATAATAATGACGGTTTACTCGAAAATTTCATCTTCAACCAGAATTTTCCAACCTCTCTTATTAATAATCAACCAATTTTAACTGAAGTACAACAGCAAAATATTTGGATAGAAAATGATTTCAATAACAGTCATTATTATTATGATACAAATCCAACAAGTCAATTTGATAAAAATATAAACGATAGCTTTTTCGAATTTCCTTACAGCATTGATACTGGAAAGTTGTGTTTGGATACCTTGAAGAATTACAACATTGCAATTTACCCTTAAATCTTTTTTTTATCTTTAAAGAAATGTCTATTAGTTATTGTAAATTAATCATCCTAATTTTTTCATCAAAAAAATATCTTACATGTAAATAATTGTAAAAAAAAAACAAAAAAAACATCCGATTCAAAGTAGTAGTAATAATAGATATTTCATATTTTTTTTTTTTCTTTTTTTTTCTTTTTTTTTTTTCTTTTCTTTTTTAATTA